CAAAGGCTGTTTTGCCTCTGGGATGGGGAATCTGAACAAAAACCTAACCTATTTTTAAAAACCGAAATATGGTGGTGTAAAGAAATATTATTATTGTACAATGTATATGTTTAACACACACTCAGAAATGGATTATGTAATATATTTTAGATATATAAAGAAATACACAGATGTGGCATCCATGATATGTATATAAAAGCAGCTGGAAGAGGAGACCTTTGCAGAGGCCAGAGAAAGAACTGAGAGTGGAGGAGAGTCCAATTTGGGAGCCCCTGGTAAATTCACAAAATTTCCAACCTGCTGTAGCCTGAAACTGGGTGTGTGCAATGCAGCTGGTGGGACACAGCTGTGGGCAGCCTGAGGGTGAGAGCCAGGAGACTGAGAGATGTTGAGTGGGGAAATGTGTCAGAAGAAGGAATTTAGCCGTATTTATTTATTACCAACTTGCATTTTTGTACTATTTTGCTGTTGCTGTTTTAGTTTTCTGTACACCACTCAGAGATATTTTTAGATATTAAGTGCTACAGAAATCGCTCAAATGAATAAAAACACATTAATAAATAAATTATTATTATTAATAATGATGATGATGATGTCTTCTAAAAGTTGTGTAATTCTTTATCTCCTTGATATCTGAAGGGAGGGCGTTCCACAGGGAGGACGCCACTACCGAGAAGGCTCTCTGCCTGTGTATATGAAATATACACAATATGAAGCCCTTGGCTGATAGTTGGATGGCTTTAGTTTGTTTTAAATAGCACTGTTTTCGTTGTTGTAACCTGCCCTGGGTGAAGGTTAGGGGCAGGAGGGAGATCTAATTGTCAGCAATAACAACAAAGTGTAGTGTATTTTAATTGATTTCATTGCTTTGCTTTTGTTAATTCGCTTAAGAGACTTTTGCATAAAGCGACCAGAATATTATGGTCATTATTGGTGATAGTAATAGTAGTAGAACTGTTTTCAAAAAGGAGAACATCTTTCAGGAAATCTGCCATTTAAGAAAAGAAACACTTCCTTCTTTTAAAAAGTGACTGACTTGGGAAGCAGACTGCAGTGGAGGTGCCTGGGTTTCAGAAATATACTTAGGAGGGCTCTAAGAGAAAGCCACCTCTGCAGGCCTTGGGAACCCCTAGTGGTGCTTGGGAGAGAACATGGGAATCTACCTCAGTATCTCCTGAAGGTGCTAGTTTTCATGTTCAGGTGAAGTGATGCCTAACGAACAACAGGCCGACGCCACACAAAATTGGCTTCTGCTGCTCAGAGCAAAAGGTAAGTACAGTGGTACCTCGGGGTTAAGTACTTAATTCGTTCCGGAGGTCTGTTCTTAACCTGAAACTGTTCTTAATCCGAAGCACCACTTTAGCTAATGGGGCCTCCCGCTGCCGCCGTGCCTCCGGAGCACGATTTCTGTTCTCATCCTGAAGCTCTTAACCTGAAGCACTATTTCTGGGTTAGCGGAGTCTGTAACCTGAAGCGTATATAATGTGAAGCGTATGTAACCTGAGGTACCACAGTATTTGCCTTCATCAGCACCATGCTCACAAAGCGGTCGATGCACATTTATTCTTATAGAGTAAGAGGTGAACTCAACCTGAGAGGTACAAGTGATAATCAAGAGGAATGGGAAATAGGAGTTAATAAATATTAATCTCTTCCTGTTTGTTTTATGTCCATTCACTACAAGAGAAGTGCATTTTTCCACTTTGAAAATGTACGGCCGCAATCTGTGACAGAGTAAGCCTGTTTAAACCCAGTGACTTCAACTGCCCTCTTGTCAGACGCACATGGCGGGGACTAGGAACACGGTCACCAGCTCTGCTCATGGGCGTAGCCAAGGGGGGGCAGCTGCCTCCCCCCTGATCAAGTAAAACAATAGAAATACTTAACTGACCAAACACATCGGTCCTGCCCCCCAAAACAAAAGTCCTGCCCCCCCAACAAAGTCCTGTGTCCCCAAACAAGAATCCTTGCAATATCCATGGCTCTGCCCCCCAACACTTTGAGAGTTGGGAGCTTTTATTCTGTCATAAGTGTTTATGTGCTGGGTTATCTCCAAAACATGCCCACTTAATATTTACAGTATATATGATCAGCAGATGCACAGGAACCCCAAGGTTTACAGAAGTGCAAAATATGTTCAGGAGGAAAACAAACCAACTTCAGGGGCATCCCCCACCCTCAAAACAGCCCAGTGAGGAATGAGCTTGTTCTGTGAGCATGAGATACAACACCATACCTAACGACCAACATTATTTCACAACAGAAATATTATTCCCACCTTTGTCCCAGTGCAAGACAGATCAGTTTTGGAGGAGACCTATTTATTATCATCCAGGCACCAAACCATAATTGATCAGATAATTTCTCATCTGCAAAAGCGGTTGATTCCTCATAGACTATGGAAGGTCACCCTCACCGGCATAAACTGAGATTTGCCAAACTGAAATTTACCATTAGCGGGCTGAAATGTAACTTCAGAAATGAGCAAGGCTCAGCAGGTATATGCAGCTTGGAGGAAGGCCTGTACAGTGCTGGACTGGATGGGATTTCAAATGTTAAGAGTCTCTCAAGTTGAAGCATACCATTCTTGAAATGAAAACTCATCCGTGTCATCAGACTCACTGCCAGTAACGTGATATTTGCTTGAACTGCGTTTGGCTATTGCTCCAAGCGGTCAAGTAGACTAAGCAAGCAGACAGGGGCAGAAGCCATTATTGCTGGGGGAAACAAATGAGCCACCTCGTTCCAGTCTTTCTGACACCGAGCGACATTGCTGAGGGGGCAGCTCAGCTACAGATTCCCTTTGCTAAGCCAACTGTGAGAAGGTGCAGTAGAGGCTTGTGATAGAAAATTATCAGCTACCATTCTCAGGATTCTTTGGGGGAAGTCAGGACTATTAACTTGGTATAAAACCAATATAATTCTGCATTCTGAAGAGTAAGTTCAAAAAGCAAGATGTAAGCTCTTAAATGGGAACGGACAAGCCTAAGCAATACCGCAACATTAATTCCATTTCCACTTCTCCCAAAGGAGCTTAATATCAGAGTACCTTTTCTACAAGTTTAGATCAGTCTTATTTAGTTTTTGTCAATCAGTATGGGTTAAGCCACAGAGCCTAGGACTTGCTGATCAGAAGGTCGGCGGTTCGAATCCCCGCGACGGGGTGAGCTCCCGTTGCTCGGTCCCTGCTCCTGCCAACCTAGCAGTTCGAAAGCACGTCAAAGTGCAAGTAGATCAATAGGTACCGCTCCGGTGGGAAGGTAAACGGCGTTTCCGTGTGCTGCTCTGGTTTGCCAGAAGCAGCTTAGTCATGCTGGCCACATGACCCGGAAGCTGTACGCCGGCTCCCTTGGCCAATAAAGCGAGATGAGCACCGCAACCCCAGAGTCGGTCACGACTGGACCTAATGGTCAGGTGTCCCTTTACCTTTACTCATTCAAGGACCAGTACAAATCCCTATTTGTAGGTTTTGTAGGCAGAACTGTATCCTTGCCATGCTAAGACACTGTTAATGGTTTGTTTCTCCCCCAAGCTCCGACTTCCTGTTACATCCAAGCTAAAGCATCCACGATCCCTGCTTCAGAGGTTAAACTAAACCAGGAATTGAGACGTTGCTCTCCAGTACTAGCAAAATAGAAGAAGTGAAGGGGGCGTGCGCGATCAGCTTGTGCACAGTAAACCGTTAACAACAGTTTACCTTGATGTCTGAACACTGCCACTGTGGTTGTTAAAGGTGGTGGTGGGGTTATGAAAAAAGGATATCATACCTCTATAATTTTGTTCCAGATCGGACGGTGACTGATGGCATCCCAGAGTGTAATGTGTTTGTCTTGCCCACAAGTGAAGAACTGAGGTTTGGAAGGATGGGCTGTTAGTCCCCAAAGCTCATCAGTATGACCCTTAATAAATACAGCAATGTTTCATCAGAACATGAACAACAGAACACTCTGAGTTTCTCTAATATTTTATTGGTAATAATGGGGGACGGGACATATAGAATCCTTCTCCCTCTTCCTTCAAATCCCACTTCTGGTTCCTCTTTTTCATTAATAGCTTTGCTTAACTCTTATATTTTCACCCGCAACTGAAATGAAACCTATGCGGATGTAACTTCGCTTATTGATATTTGCTCCACTGCCCTTCTCCTCTCCCCTTTCCTTCTCTACTACCCAAACTGAGTTCGTAAGCTTTGAGGGACAGCGTCCTGTCCACCTCCCCTTTCGTACGTCATGTGACAGCAGCAATTACACATTCAGCAAGCTCTCAGCTCCTCCGCAGTAGAGATCAAGGAACCTCTTATAATTCAGATTTTTTAAAAATGAACACTATGATTTTGTCTTTTAAAAACTTTGGTCTTAAGAAGGAATGGGCTCAAAGAAGTACTTACCTGGGTAATGGGAGAAAAGTCTCCCGAGAGGGAACCTTGTAGAACAAAATTCCGAGTGGTGCCGATTAACACAACGTCACCTTTCCCTTCTGCAATTGTTCTTATTGGCCCAAATTGCTCTGGAATCTATTTTCAAAATTCAAAAGCATATTGGTTAATCAAGCTGGCATGTAGTTTCCCCCCTCAAGTGTACATTTTCTACAGTGCTTTCCTCAGAAGGTGGTGGAGACTCGTCGGAGGTTTTTAAGCAGAGGTTGGATGGCCATCTGCCATGGATACATTAGCTGAGATTCCTGCATCGCAAGGGATAACTCTCAGGGTACCTTCCAGTTTTACAATTCTACGAAAGGTATCTCTTGTTTTCTTTGCACGATTTGTTGTTGTGTAACGGCCATTTCCCTCCTCCAATGAGACACTTAAGGGACGTGTCTTGTGTTAGTGTTGCACAAAAGTAGTGGTTTTCATTTTTATTCAGTAATCCATCTGAACACTTGAGTTGCTCAGCAGCGGGCTTGCCATCACTTCCTGCTCCTTGTTCCTCTTCACAGAATCATAGAGTTGGAAGGGACCATGAGGGTCATCTAGTCCAACCCCCTGCAAGGCTTGATTCTTTTGCCTAACATGGGGCTTGAGCTTATGACCCTGAGATTAAGAGTCTTGTGCTCTACCAACTGAGCTACCCACCCTCCAGGCCAATATTCTGCTTTGCTGTCATTACTATTTTTTTTTACATCTTGTTCTCTGTTGCGAGACCCATGGTTGAAACAATACAGACTGGCACATTATGAGCGTAAAACACGACAGGTTGCCCCTTTTCTCAATTTGGATCGAAGCTGGGGAAGCCACAGCATTCTGCAAGAAACAACAGGATAGGCATGGATGGTGGAGGATGTTGCGTGTACACTGCTTCCCCTAACCAGTGTTTGGAGCACGCTGGATGCAATCAGGGAATGGCTGTAGCTCCACGGTAGAGCATCAGCGTTGCATAGAGGAGGTCCTAAGGTTCAATCCCCAGAATCTCCAGACAGGGCTGGAACCGTGCAGATCTGATGTCGGTAAGTGCAGACAATAAGCCAGATGGACCAATAGCCTGGGCTCAGTATAATACATGTTCCTATGAATCTTTGATGAAAATGGTGAGAGTGTACATAGCCTAGCTTGTATGTAAGATAAGCTAGAAAATGGGGTAGACAGAAAGTTTTGGAGTCAGACACTTGAAGAGCTGCAAAGGAGAGAAAAGGGGCTTAAATGCTATAAGAGAGCTGGAATACTAAAAAGAAAGCACAGATGGGAACTATGGAAGGAAGAAACCAGGAGGTGACCAGGAAGGGTGCAAACTGATAAATATCGGCTGATTTAAGGAAACAGTCCAGAATAGGTTGGGTGAGCTTTTTCCTGTACCTGGTTTTTCAATTTGCTCTTATGAGTAACTTAAAACCATTTGCTCAAAACCTGTTTAATTTCTTGCTCTACAAAACTATTAAGTAAAAGCGTAATTGGGTATTTGGGGGGGGGGGGATAGTTTGGAGCTCTATTTTTCTTTCTACTCCAAGTACCATACCACTCTACCAAGTATTGGAAGTACGTGAGGCCAGTTACAGTCCAGGGCTGTTTAGTGAAGGCAGGCAGAGAAAAATAAAGGTATCAACTGGGTGAGGTGAACAAGAAGGAGAGGTTGCATTGAAGGGTTTGCTTGTTTCCTTTCCCTCTCATGATTCAAGCAATGTAATGTATTTCAAGGTAGAGAACTGTGCTGGGCAAATGTCTGGGATCTGTATCTAGGTATTCAAAATCTATGCACTGTATGACCCTTCTGATATTATATCATATTCTTAGTCTGAGGACATAGGCATTAGCCACAAGAAACAGTGATGTCTTTTAGAAGTTGACAGGGTGGGGAAAAGCTTTTTCAGGATTCGAGCTACAAAATAATTCTCTTTTCAAACAGGAAATGATAAGATGTCGCTTTTAAAGGATTGATGACATCACCTCTGTTTTGTGAAGTTTTTGGTAATTCCCGTTCCAAGATATTAGCTTTCTGTCTTTTCCACCTCCAGACACAAGCGTTCCGTCTCGCAACATACAAAGTGCAAAAATGCCACCTTCGTGGGCTCCTTGAACTGCAGAGCTTATTCTGTTGGTACCTAGATATGGGAAGAAAACAAGTTATTAACCAAGCAGTATATCTTATTTGGCGATTCAGTTATTTATTTATTACGGCAAGCCTGTTTTGTCACATATGAAACTCCCTCCCTACTGAAGTTCATCTGGTCTCAGCCCTGTAGTTTAAGGCAGCTGCTTAAGACACACCTTTTTCAGAGGGTGTTTGGAGGAGGAAAGACCTGATTAGATAATTGGATTAGCTGCTATTTAAAGTTGTTATGCTATGCATTTTAAGAACTGTAATATTTTATATTAAAATATTACAGTTCTCGAAGCTACAAACATGAGTCTGACCAAACTGTGGGAGGTAGTGGAAGACAGGAGTGCCTGGCGTGCTCTGGTCCATGGGGTCACGAAGAGTCGGACACGACTAAACGACTAAACAACAACAATATTTTATATACTTTATGTATTTGAATACACATTTTCTTATTTGGTTGTAAACCAACCTGGGGGCTTGTGCAAACAGCCGTATATAAACCACAGAAACGTAAGTAAATAAGTAATATTGTGGACACTGAAAGATACCTTTCGTCTAAACCAACAGGTTTAACTTGGCCAGAAGATATTTGTGGCTGCAGTTAGCCTTGGAGCTTATTTCTTAAATGTATTCGTAGAACTTAATTAGCTGTTTAATTTGTTAAACCATGTTTAAGACTGAAACATGCAAGGTGTCTGCTATCAATTTAGGACCATGTCAAATGTTTTGCAGGTGATTATTTTCTGCTTCCGGGGGACTGAAATGCTCCTTGCACATCTTGTTTTCTTCATGCCTGTTCGCTACCCCCCTCTTGACAGGTATTTTAACACCATTTTTGCCAATCACCATCAAAAGGCTGACAACATAATCCCAGCTAATCAGGAATCCCATAGCCAGCATGGTGTAATTATTAGGCCACGTAGCCAGAACCACTTCACAAGATGGCTTCCGAGTCAGGGCAATGCTTCCTCCCCTCCCTTAGAAAGGGAAACAATTTTTGCTCTACTCGAACCTTCTATTACTAAGAAGTAGCATACTTTTTTGCAGGGGCAATAGTCCTCACATAATATCCCCCCCCATTGATTCTGAATAAATTCTATTTCAGTTTCTTTCCAGGAAAAATTAAATAAGCACTTGCTTAAATCTAGAAGAAATAACTGTTAAATCTATGTCATATGTAGTAATTTACTGTTTTATAAGCTTACTCTTCTTACCTTTTCCCCATACTAAGATATTTCCACTTGAGTCTCCAGTAATCGTATCACCGTTTTCAGAAAACGTCACACACAAAACAAATTTTGGCTTTTCTTGTTTCTGTACGGTAAGAGATTTGGTATATTTATAATAATCACAGGGGAATAACATATTTACGATATATTTTTATTTATTCAATTTAGATAATTTCAAAACCGCATGCTTACCACAAGGTAAAAATCAAGAGAAATAAGTAACAAGAGATTGCAAGTTTTACAGATTTTATCAACATATGTTTACAAATTCTTGACATATATTAAATAGAATACATTGCACATATGCCTTATCCATGCCATAATACACCTGTTGAATAATGCATTCAAAGCTATCTTCCTTTCTGAAGAAATCCCTTTAAATCAAAACTGCATTTAAAATACCTGGTTGTGGAATGTAAGGTTTTGTTGTTATTTTAAAGTAGTGACATTCCACATGCTTGGCCTGGACTCAACAGTCAGCCATAGGTAGACCCGAAGTCATGCAAATGGCCAGTGGATCTTCAGCACTTCCCTTTGAACGCTTTAAAAAATAATGTGGCTTTTGAACTCTCAGTTTGACAAATACCATATTTTTCCATGTGTAAGACTAGGTTTCCCCCCTAAAAAAATAATGCCAAAAATTAGGGGAGCGTCTTATACATGGATACATCTCTCCCCATTTTCTTAAATATGAGTCCCCCAAAATAGGGGGCATCTTATAGATGGAAAAATACGGTAGTTTGCAATACAGCAATAGTAGCAGTCTGCAGCTGTTTGAGAAACACAGGCCACAAAGTATCACTGGACCTGTGGAACTGGCTCTATGGAGATCTTGGGTTGTGCACTATAAAGATACCATCACAGCCAATATTCTAAGATGCTGGAAAGATATACAAGTTTTGACTAGAAGAAGGAAGAGCAAGTGTGATGAATCAGAGTCATGTTTGCAATAGTAGGTAATGTGGCGCTTTTACCCAAGAACAGAGAGCAGCAACTCATATTTGATTCTCAAGCTGTTTTTGGACTACAACTCCCATCATCCTGAGCTAGCAGGACCAGTGGTCAGGGATGATGGGAACTGTAGTCCAAAAACAGCTGGAGACCCAAGTTTGGGAAACCCTGGTCTAGACCCTGTTGGATGAATCCTGCCATGGGCAGCTTCTCCTTCAGCACTGTGACTTGGTGACACTAGAAGGACAACAAGACTAAACAAACAACACTGAGAGAAAGACGGGTGAAGTTCATACATTGATTTGAACCAGCCAGCCCATTCTTTGGCTATAGGCTTCTTCTATGTAACTTCCGTATGCAACCCCCATGAACATAAGCACTTGTTACCTCAAATAAGCCTTGCTTTTTAATGAGAGAACTGCCTTCAAGCGTCCAAAAATAAAGATGCGATTTCCCACAAGTAACTATTATATTAGTGTCTGTAGGGTGAAAATCAGCGGCAAATACGGCTTCGTTAGAGCACTAGAAGGAGGGAAAAATTATTTCAACATTTGCAAAAAAACCCAGACATGTCAAAATGCCCACAGACAACGTTAAGAGCACCAATAGTAAATTCATATGCTTCGGAAGGATGTTAAATGCCTTGCAATACATTAATCTGTATAGATATAGGTCAAATAAGAACATAAGGGGAGGCTGCTGGATCACACCGGAGGCTAGCAGCAATGCTTACAAGATGTTACACTGAATATGGCACCAATGGGGTAGGAGCGAGGGAACAAACTGGTGGGTCTCAAGTTGCATAAAAGCAATCTCATTGCAAAATACCTTGACATCTGCTAGCTTTTCTTCTCTCTGCCAGTCCCACACTGAAAGCACATGGTCGTTGGAGTCATCCACTGAACAAAGGTTACTCCCTCCATTCTGAAATAAAACAGGAAATATCTCACTGGAGGAATGCACCAAAAAGCGATTTAATATCATCACAAAGTCTAATTGGAAAGGCAGTTCTCTACAAGCCAGTCCTTACGAAACCAAAACAGCATCATCCACACAGAATATGTGTTATTGGCAGGTTTGAGGAAAATATACAAAAAATTGTTTAGCAAAAATACAATAATAATTAAATAATAATAATAATAAAAATTACAACCAACCCATCGGACTGGGTTGCCCCAGCTACTCTGGGTGGCTTCCAACATAAAAACACAACAAAACATCAAGCATTAAAAACTTATTAATACAGGGCTGCCTTCAGAAAGTCATGCAATTGGTTATCTCTTGGACATCTGATGAGAGGGCGTCCCAAGAAGGCCTTCTGCTGTTCTATTACAACTAGTTTGACCCTAAACTAAAGGGGAGAAAGGGGA